GTTTACTAGAACTAAATGAAAATATGACACTAAATAGGACGCAGTGGAGAAAACAGATTCATGTAGCCGACCCCATGTAGTGGGATTAAGGCTTTGTTATTTTTGTTGATCTTTTACCCAGTCCAACCTCAGTAATCACAAGAATATCAAATATGAGCTAGGTCGCTCTGGTTGAGACTTTATAGAAGAGGATAATATCATCGGCATTGAGCATATGCAAAATACGAGGGAAGTTGTTAGCTAACCACACCCCAATGTGCTCCTCCAATTGGACCAAGACAAGGGAGAGCAGCTCAGAGCATATAATACCAAGGCAATGTGCTGCTCCTTTGGTGGCACATTTGGCATTGATTCAAGGGGACTGTTTACCATTAATTAAGAGAGTAAAGTTGGGTTGCTCCATGCAGCTTAAAAACCATCACCAGGAGGAAGGTGCTCTGACAACTACTAGAGACTATTTCCTCCAGAGTCTCTCTGACAACTACTAGAGACTATTTCCTCCAGAGTCTTCCAACCCATTTTATCATAAACTTGTTCAATATCAATCTTGATGGTCATGAGGCTAGACTTCGCCTTGGAGTGCTTGAGCTTATTGAGCATTTCCCGAGCAAGAAGGCAGTGATCAAAGATAGAGCGATTCTGACGAAAACTCCTTGTTTGGGGGAAATAAAGATTGATAGAACACTCTTGAGACGGTTAACCAGAACTTTGGAAACCACTTTATAAATTTTTTGGCACGAGATGATAGGCCAGAAAAACATCGATATTTTTCGATTTTGGGATCGACACAATTGAAGATTGCTTCCATTGATTGGGCATACGAGTCATGGAAAAGAACTCATGTACCGCTCTCATGACTTCTTAGAGATTATGCCCCAAGAATTCTTATAAAAAAGAGGTAGTGATACCATCAAATCCGGGCTCCCAATCATGACCCATTTGCGCGTAAAGAGGACTCGTGTTTTTTCAGTCATAGATACTTGCGTTATTTTTCTTGTATGATTCTTATTGCCCGTTGACCGTTTTTTGTATAGTAACATGTAATATGTTCTTTCTTTCTTTGTAGATTTTTTTTTTAATGTTTCGCCTATGCTTCTAATGTTTGTCGACCATCCTTGGTTTTACTATAAGTACATTCAACATACCTTGGAGATGCTTCCTCGACATTGATCTTTGACGGAGTGGATAAAGGGTATTGTTAGAAAGTTAGTATTGGTGATGAGTGAGCTTTTTTTTTTCTCGACGTTGAATACTTTTGTGCTTGGTATTGGGCACTCAATATTTAGTCTTGATTACTTGATAACCCCCCCATTTGATTCACATCATTTGCTCCAGCCATTGAATTTGGGTTCTTGGTGGGTTGGGATTTGTCCATCACAACTTTCTTTGGTTTAAGCAGATTGAGCAAAATTGGGCTTTGATATGTCAGACCTTAGGCACCCCATTTCTATATATGACATCAATATTTTTGATTAATTAACAAAAGAATAAAAACTACAATTACAAATAAATTTAAGTATGATTTTTAAAAAAAAACTTAAGCATAACTCTTATGGCTTAACTATTATGTCCCTATATTTGATGGGATAATCCTATTTTTTACAAAATTCGTAGACGACTTTGAATAATCCTTTAACAATTCAAAATCTCTAATCTCAAAAGAGTTGAATTCATTAAAATAAAGTTTGTAGAACTTGCTCAAAATATTCTGGTGAAATGCTGCTGAAAAAATAAAATTGATATGGGTTGATATGAGATATAAGTTTAAAATATAAACTATTCATTATTTTACAAAGCTAATTACATGATCAATATAAGAATTTTGAAGAAATTCACTAAGCAAAACTTCATTCATTCAACGCAACATTCAATGTCTGAATTTGATTGCTTGCTCTTGCTTCTGGCATGACCTTAATCTCGTGTATCCTCACCCTCACTACTGCCCAAAATCTTGCCTTGATATGCTTCCTCCAAGGCGACGCCATGGTTCTGCCGCCTTTCATGTTGACCTACTAGCCATCTAAAACTTACTCAACCAAAATTTGAATTGTATTCTTGTATGTTGAATGGCCTTGTAGCTAAATGTCATTTGTCTACAAATTATTATATTATTAATATTTATTTCCTTAAAGGTATTGAACAAGAATTTAGGCACAAGTTAAGCTAAAATTTACTATAGATAATAAATGATGTTTTCTATAAAGCTTTAGAATTTGAGAAATATTGCAATTTTCTCCTAATAAAACTACTGTTCATTGATATTGTTAAGGAAAACTCTTTTATCATGTGTTTTTTTCTTTTCAAGAAGTCAAACTCCAGATCTAGCATTTTGGATGCATGAATTAATACCACAAGTCACGTGCTATGTGGTTCATCACCCTGTCTACGAAATATTGAAAAAAATATTACAATAGAATCTATTTTTGGTCAAATTTTGGTGGGATTCGATGATATGCCTTTTCAAGTTCAATAATGATCATATGAAGATAATTTCTTTGTGCATATAAGAACTAAGAAATGAACAAAATAAGAAATAATGGGATTTTGATTTTCAAAATCTTTTGGAGCAATGTGAAAGGATCTTAAGCTTCGCTTTATTACTATTTTATGTTAGGAGATAAACATGGGTCAATGGCTTAGATTAGAAAGAGTTGGGCTCTTTGGAACCAAAGTTAATATTTATTCCGAGTCATATTCATCATCATTAGCAGCATCCTTAACTGGTTTTAGTTGGCTTTATGTATCCTCATTCTCATCAGTATTTACATATTAAGCACCGGAACTTTTCTTTTTTACATTTTATGCACCCTAAACTTTTTCCGAACATCAAATGCAACACTCCATCTCTTTTCTTCGTGCGACTCGTTGGCTCTTTCATTTTTTTTAGTTCAAGAAACACATCCCATGGCGTCAACACATTCACCGGACTTCCCTACTCCAACCAAGCGCCTTCTGCCAGACTGCAATATGCAGATGAGGATAAGCAGCTTCTCCACCGCCGTTTCCGATGATTGCCACTGCTCAGCTTCACACCTTTTCCGATTCCAAAAACGGCAGAAACATCCATTGCCTAGACATTCTCAACTCATCCTTGCCTGACATAGAGGACATCCGCCGTCTCTCATACTCAATTTTCTCTCTTCTCCAAACCCCTGATTTTGATTTCTTCTCCGATGCCTGCATTACTACTGGTGGAAATAAGTTTGCTGTCCATCGTTGCTTGCTCTCTCCACGAAATTGCTTATTTTGAGATGTCTTCTCAGGAAAGGAGAATGCATCAGCAGCATTCTCCGGTTAGGATTGATATGAGGGAATTAGTGGATGATGAATTCGATGTGGGCTTCGAGGCCTTGGTTTTCTTGACCTTTGACAATCGATTCCCTAATTTGATGCCAACGAGGTCCTGAGTTGTTGCCGCTGTATAACGGATTGGTGAGAGTCCTTGCTTGTTCTTCTTCTTCTTCTCCATCCCGATACAACAGCTCCTTTCTCATTTTCATCAGGTCTGGTGGTTTGAACCTGCAGACGGGGTGAGGATAAGCAGGAGACGAAACAAAGGGGAGATGAGGTGCTGTATTTGATGTTCGGGGAAGGTTTGGGTTGTTTCAAATGTAGATATAAAGCTTTAGATGCTTAATATATAAATATTGATTTTTAGGTGTCCTATATATAAAACTCCTAATTTTTTACCGTCAACACTCATATTGATACAATCTTAAGATAAATTTGAATTTTATATAATCTATCTTTATGTGATGCAATATTTAGATATCTATCAGCGTATCTTTCTGTAATATTGACTGATAAATATCAAATCTATTAAAATTACATGTCATATACTAACCATTTTTTTATATTAATCCCAAGCTCTCAATCTTGTCAAGTTTTTTTTTTTTATTATTGTATTAAATTTTCACTTTATTTAGCAAATGTTGTGTTGATTAGAGTTGTCATTTGCAATTAAAAAAAAAAGAAAGAAAATATAAACACTACATTGCTAGTTTGAGCCACAAAGCTAATGATGATTTATTACTCTCTTTTTTCAGTCCATAAAACCATTTTCTTTTTAATCCGTACCTCATTCTATCATCAAGCTTCTATCGTATGCTGCGATCTATTTGAAGATTCTCTTAAAGGCCTTATAATATTTTTGTAAAGGGAAACACCATCTTTCCCCACATTAGGCTTATAGCTCAACAAAAATTTTTCAATTCATCTTTCTTAACAATACGCTTGAAAAGTTAATAACTTCTCAAATTTCAAGTTGCATTATCTCATCTTAGTTTTTATTCAATCATTTTCTTTATAATTTAGAAGTCTAGGTTCAGGACTACTTGTTATGAATAACCTTTCCATTGACGTCATTACACAATTTTTTTACCAAAAAAATGGATTTTTTTAGTCGTAATAAAATGTTTTCTATTATTTTTTAAAATGTATTTATCATATTATAAAATTATATGCTAGTGCAAAATAAAGTATAGCTATTCCCTTCTATTTGTGTCCTTTAAAAGTAACCAAGCTAATACCTTTTGAAATACAAAAATATGGCAAGGCGAAGAAAGCTGGGAATCCAAATTTCAAAAAAAGAAAAAAATACTCGGCCACACTATTAAAATAAATCTCGATGTGATTCAATTGTCTTTTTTGTCCCACACCGTGATCCCTGTATCATCCCGGTCTGAATCAATTCTTCTCTGGGTCACACAAATTTCCTAACAACTAATTTTGCGACGCTAGTAGATGTTTTCATTTGGCTACTATATAAAACTATCATTTAATTAAAATTTGTTCATAGTAATAATAACACGTAAATGTCGAAGAACACAATGAAACGATTAACTTATTGTATCGCATATAAATATATATGATTTTAGTTCATTTTAAACACTTGGGTGATAGTTTTATATATGTATATATAAAAATTGATGGTAAAAATAGACATATTCTTATTAATTCTTTCTCTGCAAGTTCAGGAGAACTTACGATTTCATTTGCAGGATCTTAGTTTACGAGGTTTCTGGCTGCAAAAGTTAATGAGTAGCGACAGCACCATGGTTTGCAGACCAAAGATGGATTATCTCTTGAATTTGGTCCAAAGTGGCAAATTAAAATATGAGTAAGTTATTATTATTATTATTATTATTTTATGTACTTGCAGTTGCCAGAGCAGATTAGCCTTCATTTCTGCAAGAAGAATAAAATTTAGATACCACAACATTCCCATGCATTTACACATCTAACACCTAAACTTTGCTTTTTTTGCTTCTATACCATCCAAATCTTTCCTATCACATCAAGAATACCGAGCAATTTAACTTTTTATGAAGTGCAGCACAGCTTTTTCATGCATAGGTGTTATATATGTAAATACATAGGAATTGAGTGTTATGTGTGTAAATCTTTCTAAAATTTAGATTGTATGCAGGATGGAACTCGCTCCTTTCAGCGATTTCAACATCGCGCTACAAAAGGCAATGGGGAAACATGGCCGTCATCCTAAGCAGGTTATTAAATTCTGATGTCGGCCGCCGCCTCCTTCATCTCTGATTGTGAGTCCCTCTATATGAATCGGTCTCAAAATCTTGTTTGGTAGTATACAATATGCATTATCCCCTCCATTATAAGGCTAAGTAATGGAAAATTAAACATAAAATACATGTGGGTGATGTCTTTTGTCGCACAATCAATAATTTCTCAGTTTTTATTCGCCTTACGTTATTTTTATGATCAAAAGTGTTGTTGCCAAAAAGAAACAGTGGCAATTATGTCATGGTGATCATCAGCATTATTTCATTTTCATGTGATGCATGTATGGGTTTTTAATTATTTACTGCACATTATTTTTAATCTGTGCATCTGATGTGTTAGGCGTGAGGCATTGGATGCTTCGAAATTTATATCAAATGTGGGTGCATCATGGTTTGGTATATTCTTCCAAATAAACCCTTATTATATTTATAAATTATTTTTCCTTGACGCTGCATCATTTTTGGTTCCAACTACTGCTGTGATCCCGTTTGTCATCCTACCAGCAGAAGTGTGACGAGTTTTGGATTATAAAAATTGATGGTCGAATTGCTCAATCTTTCAATTGGGAGGGGTTGAAGAGATTAATTATGTTACGATGCGATTCTTTTTTAATGGATTTATGTGAATTGAAACAGTTTTTAGCCACGAACTAAAAGAAGGGGCTATCATCTTTGGCTCTATTTTGAACTATTTTTTTTGTGCGTATAAATCTTATTAATTTAAATCATCTATTTAAAATAAATTAAAATTTTTTAAACTTGATTTGGGGGATAGAATGGTCTCCAGTGTGCTTGCAGTCAAAATAAATATTTTAATGAATGAGAAGTCTTAAGATAACTTGGTTCTAATATTATTAAGGCATCTGAGAAGCCTGAAAATCTTTTACCATTAAAGGGATCAATACAGGATACTTCACGGAGAGCGTGTAGTTTTGGTTAAGATAATTAAATTGTTATAATAAAAACTATAAATCATATCTCATTTTATACAAGAAAGGGTTTTTGAAGTTAGCAAATATCAACCACTATTGTTGTCATTTAGCTGCCACTGCCTTGTAACTATCTTTGGATGGAGGTCAACTTTTGATAATGGATGTTGACATTCATGATCACTTGATTGTTGTCTCTCTGTGTTGGGAGTCTTTCATACCTCTCTTGATCGTTACCATTTGTCATCAATTAATGTTGATCATCATTGCCCAATTAGCATACCCAAATTATTTATATCAAGCGATACAAAAATAAGTTATCTTGCATTATTTCTCCAAGCATTTGTAGTATTATTATGGGGACAAGTTGGCAATCCTGACCTCTTCTCGTAATGATTAAGTTCTTCACTAAGCCAAAATGGGCAGACTTGTTTAGTACAAAAGTTCAATTTCTATGATTCTAAATCAAGTCAAAATTTTTAAATTTATTTTGGAGTGAACCCAAAATGACATTCGCTCCCGTCACGAGCTCGCCGGAAATCTGAATTTGATAAATCCTACTAACGTAAATTGTAAATTCGATCTTGCAGCTAAACACCCCTTTTGAGTTACGCTGATCTAAACTGACACTTGTAGTCCACAGCATAGTTTAATAATAATAAATAAATAAAATGCAATTGAAACAAATTATAGTATATGAAACCGGTTCACAACTCACCCCAAAACCTCATAAATAATTCATATGCTTTCTTTTCTTTACAAAAATAAATAAAAGTTTAATAACAAACAAACCGTGCCATGGATAAATTTTCACTGAATTTCAGTTAAATAATGCGACAACTGAATCAAATTAATATTATTCGATTGAAAGTATTTTCTCTGTCATGCTTCTTTATTTATTGAGTCATAAGCAGGCACAATATGGAAACCACATCCCCTTTACATCTCTTTCCAAAACTAATCAATTACAAATATTCAATCTTTAATACCTTCCTAAAGCAATACAAATCGGCTATAAAAGTCTATAGAACTAGAAGAAAGCATAAATTAGTGGAAAAGAAATAGGAGATAAGTCATTATAAGCTTTTAATTAAGCTCATAATTAATTTCATAATTAGCTTAATTAAAATCATTTCAACTCAAGCTTGAAGCTTCACGCCGAAGCAAGCATTGCATTTGTTGGCTAAAATAAAACGAAAAAACAGGGACTGTTTGGTTTATAGCTTTGTTTGCAGACCAAGCAAAATAGCAAAGGCAATATATTAATTAATAATATATAAATATATTTTCTGGACTATTTTGTTGCTATCTAATCTTCCAAGTAAAGAACACCAACCGGCCATTAATCTAGAAAAAAATTGATCGTTACCAAATGGAAATTCATAGATGTAGCTGAATTAGTCTTATATTTTCCTCAAGAAAATTGTCCAAAAGCTATAAAATAAATAAATTAATCAATAAATTCTGGGTCAAATTGTGATGCCAGATGTGCATACTTCCAATGTGCTAAAGCTCCTCACATGGAAGCTAGATTTTGCCACTGTATTCATGCCTGGAGCATGCTAGTGACCACCTACTTTAATTGGTCAAGATTTTCAAAGATTCTGGAACTAAAATCAAATCACTTCTTTGCACTGATATATATATATATATATATAAAGCAATGGTCATAATTCCAATTTACTGACATGAATTTCTGAAAATTCCATGTTTCATCAAACATTGAAGAAGCATTCAGAACATTTAGCAAACCTAAACTGTATCAATAGAGTTGAAAAAAGAAAATCCAGTTTTTAAGAGTTCATGGTACTAATGAGAACAAATTCAGTAAACTATAATCTCTAGCTGAGCAGCCTTAATTTTTCTTTCTTTTTTTTTTTTTTTTGCACACCTGTTAGATCATGAACTGAAGTAATAAAAGGATATGAGAAGCTAAGGTCGAATTAGTCAAGTAGAAAGCTAAGGTAGCAAGCCAAAAATTACGAATGAACCAATCAGATAGTTTTAACTTCACCTTTTGTTTTGCAGAATCTATACAGTACTGATCTTTGCATCTTCTTCTTCTTCATCTATTAGAGATGGAGTTTATCATGCTCTCACCAGTCCACCATGGCTTCTCATTGCTCGATTCTTCGTCTACAGGAGCTGGAAGATTGAGATCCAGCATTTCCGGAACCTCGACGGCAGCAGCAGCAGCCGCCGCCATATCGACGCCACTATCGGCATCTGCATTTGACATCAAATGAGACCTCTTGTGTCCACCCAACGCCTGTCCTGAACCAAAAATCTTTCCACAGATACTGCATTCATGAATTCTGTTCTTCTTAGAATGGGAGTCTTCGATTTCCGAAACTGTCATGTGCTCGGCAAAAGTCTCAATTTTGTAGTCAGAATCGGCATTGGGATTCGGGAAGCAGCAGCCCCTGATTCTCTTGTGACTGGCACGATGGCCGCCGAGAGCTTGGTAGGAGGGGAAGCTCCTGTTGCAGTCTTCGCACTGATATCTGCTTTCTAATTTTGTCTCTTCTTTTCCCAATTTGGCTTCACGAGCACTCAAGTGCTTTCCTTTTTCATCAATCCTTGCTCTTTTCTTCCCAAATTCAGCTGATGTCAGAATCTTTGGCTTTCCTGATGCTTCGCCGGTGTACTCCCAGTCCAAGTCTTCGAATTCCCCAGATCGCTTGATCGGCACCTCTTCTTCCATGACCTCGGATTGCTTGTCGGATGATTCGGCCGCGATCGACCAGCAACCGCTGATGTCGCGTGAGAGCAACATGAGACTGACGGCGACGTCTTCTAGCTCCTGCTCGTACTCAGTTACAGATGAAGCCGCCGGACTCATCTTCGACCACTGCTTCCAAGAAACTTCTCCTTCTTCGTGATCCTCTTTTTCCTCATCCGCTTCAAAGCTTCGGCGGCAAATCTTGTCAGAATGACATCTCATGTGACCGAACAGAGCTTTCCAAGAAGGAAACTCTTTGCCGCATACCTTGCACTGCTTTATCTTCAGGGAAGAAGAAGACGATGTTGGATCTTCGCCCGCAAAATCTGACAACTTGCACGTCTTTCTGGGATTTTCTCTAAGCTCGTAAGAGCTCTTATCGAGCTTCTGAAGCTCTGTTACTGAAGAGTAGAAGCGCATGTGTGATCTCATGTGGCCTCCGAGCGATCTCCCAGAGGGAAAACACTTGCTGCAAATCTTGCATCGGTGCCTCTCCATCTGAAGCAGAGAGAAAAGAAAAACAGGGGATGAGAGTCTCCTTTATGAAATTCAAGAAACCGAAGCTTTTGCGGTTCAAATTTGAAGATTTTCTCACTGATTTGTATGCAATCTATTCACAGCTCCATATCGTCTCGGCCTTCTCACTTTCCCTTGACAAGAAGCAGATCTGAGCTCTGCCCGCTGCGCTCTGTTTCCTCTGCTTCTCAGCTTAAGTAGGAGCTAGAGCTAGAGAGCGAGAGAGCGAAAGAGAGAGAGAGAGAGAGAGAGAGACGCAGGGAGATTGAAGGGCCCAGGGGGTGGAGGTTGATTCGTTTCTCTCTCCGAGTTGTTCTTTGTGCTTTAAGGATGGTGGGAGGAGAAATTCATGCATGAAGCAATCTTAAAAGTGGAAAGGAGAGAGAGAGAGAGAGAGAGAGAGAGAGAGAGAGAGAGAGAGAGAGATCAGGGAGGAGAGAGAAATAGAAGTGTGTGAGGGAGTTAGCACGTGTGCCGAACCGAGAATCCTACGCGACGGATCGAACGGTTCGAGGGTGCCACGTGGCTAAAGGATGAGGGGATCTCGAGGTGTCTATGAGTGAATCCCATACCAAACTAACCGCTCCCAACTATTACTTCCTTTTCTCCAGCTCTAACGGGCCAGATAACATGGATCCTCTGCAACATCCGAGCATCAAACAGCATTACCCGATCCACGCGTGGTTTTCATTGGATTTATTTCGTGCTTCATGGGTTGTGTAGGTCCCCCCGGGTTTCAGGTGTTAGAAGTCTGACACTCATTCCTTCACAACTGCTTGGGAGTGATCCTCCAATCCCAATTTGTTGAGCTTTGATTTAGAGAATTACAAGGGAATTAATAGAGGCACCTCACCCTTCTCCACACACGTTCAGCCGTCCTAATGCCTGTGGGCCCTATTTTTACATTAGTCACACTCAATTAAGTTAAAAAATAATCTCCAATTTTTGTTAATTTTCTTTTATGATTATATTTACTTTGTCTTCTCTTTGTAGGACATCTTTAATAGAAAAAAAATATTTTATACAGTCATCCATACGTATAGATGACCAATCACAAAATCATACACTATATATGTACGATCATCCGCACTTCGTAAGACCATGTGTAATATTTTTATCTTTGTAAATAATCTTAGAACTCTTAGCACATAAAATACTCTTGTTTCATTGAGAGAGCTAACTTCCACTTTTCACATTTTTTTAAAACCGTAGATAGAAAACATAAGCTGTAATGTTGGAAGAAAATGAGTAATGGGAAAGGAAATAAATATCTCAATAACAACATTTAATTTGAATATTCTATTTTGGGTGATATGGAGCATTCTTAGCACTTTAGCTACCCGTAGGTGTTTTGATTTGTGGAACTTTGCTAGCAATTGACTTCCATTGGTTCCATACTTATTAACAAACTCGATTGCCCAACACATTCACTCCACAAAAGTAAATGAATTATGATTGATGCAACTTCTATTCCATCACAACTTAGTTGGCATAATGCATAATTTTCTCTTTAGCTCTACTGTGTCATCAAGAAATTTTTATCAACAGGTACAAATCTCAATGCCTTTTGAGCAAGAAATATTCCAAATTAAAATTTTATGATCATGCTGGCCACAATTTCAAAAAAAAAAAAATTATAATCAAAACTTACTATCTCGATAAGTTGAGCCATATGAACCTAAAAATGATCCAATTTGAGTCCAATTAAGTCTTTATCAAACACTTGAAGTGTCATAAAAATTTTTGGTGCATTAATTGGAAAGCAAAATAATATAAAAAATTGACATGCTCATAATCAAATTGAGCATCTCTACGAGAGGAATTTAATAAGCTTATGATTATCTAGTTTTGAGGTCATTAAGAAACTTAAATATTGAAAATCTAGATGTGATTAAGAGAATTCTTTTAGATTGTCCGATGAAGTGTTTTGATACCTTAGACCTCTATTTTTCACTTTAAAGTAGAGGAAAAGAAGAGAGTGAGCTGACTACTAAAACTTAACTTTAAAGTCCTAGCGGTTGTCTTTGGTTACCTAAGATCGTGATCGAACACTAAATGCCACTGCCAATTACCAGAGGTTGCCTTTGACCACTAGAGATCACTGTTAACCATGAGAGGTCGCAGTCAACCACCACTGATAATTGTTTCAATCAACTATGGTTATTATAAACATCAACTACAACTTTTATAGCCAACTACTACTTTTATAACCATTAATTACGACCCTTGTAGCCAATTATTACTAATGTAGCTGCCAACTATAGTTTTTGTTGTTTTGACTACCCTTTATATGATTGTATTTGTCAGGTTATTTAAATGTAGTTGTAATTTCAACATAGTTTTATAATCACATCTTCCTTGATTTAGGAAAATAACGAACCTCCGTACTTTCAATTTCTTAGTGGATTTTTTTGACTAGACCAGACCTTGTAATTTTCCACGTTCTCTAGTTTTTTGTTGTAAAAAATTTAGTTATTTATCATATCTCTTTCTGTCTGTATCAGAAAAATATACTGAGCTAAGACATAAGATCTATCTACCGATGAGAATTTTCTAATATGCAGCATGGTAAATAGTGATGAAGAAGCCCGTCACAATGAAGTTCAAATTTTTAGTTAGAATTAGGCAACCAACATTATCAATCATTTAAGTATATTTAGAAAAGATGTTATTAATGTGCAACATATTAGATGTCTTCATATCTCTTTGCTAGCATCTTAAAGGACTCAACTAAAAGAAAACTTGACATGAACTGACACATCAAAAGATCCCTTTCAATATTATTAGTGTTCTCCTTTTTGGTAGCCTCATCCTACTTTATTTTATAATACTAATGCTATTATTCAACAACCCTAATTTTTAACTTGGCTATCTTTAACTTCTCTATCATGATAGTGACATTTTTTTAATTGTTTAGTAGCTTTCTTAGTTATGATTATCAAGACGAGTTAAAATATCAACATTTTTGGTAACTTCAATCTTTTTCTCATAAATCTTGATATACTTGAAGTTCCAATTTTTTTTGGCTCCCCCATTTGAACTAATAAACATTAGATTGAACCCCCTATAGTTTGAAACTTCAGATTAGCCACCCTAGCAGCAATAATGTTAGTGTCATTAAAAGCACACACCTGCTGTCCATTTCTTAAGAAAATCATAATAGTTCTTCCATCTTTTCTTAGAGGAATGCAAATTTACTATACTAAAATGTTAGGAACTCCTAATACTGGATCATCACATCCCTTCCAAGTATCCCACTCTGAAGAAGTTATAGAATTACTTTTTCTTAGAACAAGAACTTTGAGAAAACTCCTTTACTGAGAAAGAAACATAAAAACAAAATAATATTTCTTT